CAGGCTCCCGGCCTCGGTGAAGGCGTGCGGGCAGGAGCTAGCGACCCCCGGGGTCTACGTGGAAGCCGGCCCCATCGCCCGGAGCCTTCTGGGGCGGCCTCGAGCTCTCGCGTCATCCCCGGAGGCGACGCGGAGGTCGGGGGAAATGCTGGATTGACCGTCTCAACCCCCCTTCCACCCCTAGTTTAGATGCTGTGAAAATGAGCTGGACTCCGAGCTCCGCCCCCCTATTTTGCCCTTCCCACCAACGCCCCTTGGTGCCGGAATTGATTTATGGGCTAGGAGAGATTTGGGGAGCGCAGGACAAGGTGGGCACAGTTCTAGAGGCGGGTGTGGAATGCCGTCCTTCTCCTTTTGACCCCGGGGAGCTGAGGATTACAGCCAAGCCCCCAGCACCCCTCCGGCTGCGCCCCCGCAAGCGACAGAGGGGGCGGAGACCGAAGTGCTAGCGAGTCAGCAGCACGTGTTCGTGCGCAGCGGCGTTTGCGGGCGTCTAAATTAGGGTTGGCTCGGCTCTGGGTCTGTATTTACCCAGAGTGCAGCGGGCACGTGCCTACTCGGCAGCGTGTGCGAGCACGAGCTGCGGAAGAGCACCCCTGAATTCCCTTTCCGCGAGGCGGCCAGAGCCCTGGGCCGCAGGGCCGTGCCCGCAGCCGGTGCACACTCGGACTGTGTCCACGCGAGCCCAAGAGACCACCTGTTGATACTTTTGATCCCGCATCCGGGCCTCCGGGCCTCCGGGCCCTGAGACTGTCAGGAGGTTGCCAGAACGCGAGTCTGTGCCACGCCACGTGGACCATCTGATTGCTCCTTCCCAGCAGTCAGCACCTGGGTACCCTGTCTGCATATCCACGCCGCTCGATATGTACATGCGAGCCCGCCCGTTTGTGCTCTGGTCCCCAGAGCTAACCAGGGAACTATGGAAGTCAGTGGTAGACCCACTCCGGTCCTCCAGAAAAGTATGGGATCAACGTGAAAAGGGGGAGGAGGGCGGAGAGGAAACAAAACATCCAATCAGAGCTGTTGCGCGGTCCTGGCGGAGCCAGTCAGCAGAAGCCCGCCCACAGCCCCAGGCCCTCCGGCGCCTAGGCTTTGCCCGTCTGCACCGCGCTGATAATGCCCGCGGGAGATGTGTTTACGACACCGGCTGGAAATGCAGAAGGATTGGGGACCCCCGGGTACCTTCAGGGAGACGAGGAACTTGGAGAAAGTGATTGTGACAAGGCCAAAAAAGACCACTTCTCCGAGGCGGTGCCCTAAGGGGGGACCTTCATGCCGCGGGACAGGCTGACTGAGGAAGGCTTTATTGGCTTAGGAGGGGTCTCCAAATTGTCCCAGATTTTGCTCCGACTCAGCCGGCATGGACCTCCCCTTCTACACCTCGGACTGCATCAGTAGGTACTTTCGCAGATAGACGGCCCCCAGGACGAGAAGAATCCCCACAAAGGCTGCGATGGAGGTGGAAGCCAAGGCCTGGGACGCAGGGCTCCAAGCTGGGGGCAGGAGGTGAGAATTAGGAATGGATCGCTCGGAGGCATGATGACACACGTGGAGCTCAAGCTGGGCCAGTGTCCCTCCTGGGGTCATAACCCTTCTCCACCCTCAAGTCCCCAGGATTGCAAGGATGCCTCACCCAAGGATGTCAGCGTCACAGGTGCTGAGCTGCTGCCGACCACCAGCCCGTCGAGATTGAGGCGCGCGTGGCAGGTCACGGGCTTCCAGAGATCGTGGGGCCAAGCCTGGAACTTGTAAGTCAGCGTCACGTTGGCCAGATCCAGGCCCGTGAAGCGTTCCAGGCTCTCGGAGTAGATGACCCGGCCGCCACGCTGCAGAGTTACCACCAGGAAGCCCACGGGGAACACGTGCGTCACGTGGCAGCGCAGAATGTACTCCCTGCCCTCCAAGACCGGAGGCTCCAGGATCACCCTGTGAGGCGGTTCTAAAGCAAGAGGGGGCCGCTGAGCAAGGTCCGCGGGCGCCCCCTAGCGCGACTGTCAACTGCCCCATCTCTGTCCCCCTCCCGTCTCCCCGGCCGGGCCTAAAAACCCTCGTCCCTCACTGTAGGCGTGGATCCTGGCCGTGGCCCCCCGCGTTACTCCCGCGCAGGTGAGGAGGCAGTGCACTTCGGAGCTCCAGGCCCTTACGTCCAGCAGCTGGAAGGAGATCCAGCTGGGCCCGCTGAGCTTCTGGCCCCGCCGCAGCCCAGTACGGAGGGCGGAACCCTCCAAGAGGGGGCAGCTGCTGCTGCAGTTGAGCCACACCGAACTCCCCGGCCGCACGGCTATGAAACTGGGGCTTATGCGCATCCAGAACGGCGCTGTGGTCGCGGAGAGCGTGGGAGAGCTGCCTCCGGGGCTTTGCGCCCGCGCAGCCCAGCACCTCCGCGCGCTCCTGCCTCCCGGGCAAGCTACCGCCAGCAAAACCAGAAGTGAGAGGGGAAGCAGAAACCCCATGGCAAAGAGCCCGTAGTGAGAGACCCCGCGCCAGGAAGCCAGGCTGGCTCTGCAGATAAGAAAGCCCAAAGCCCCGCCTTCTCAGCCCCACCCGGAGAGACAGAGGCTCTTAGAGAGCCAGGAGCCTTGCGACATATACCCCCCTCCGCCCCCATTCAAGAATGGGATTCCAGGCCCCATTTTAAACCAAATGTGTGTGTGTGTTTTTTCCAGAGAGAGGTCTTTAATTTTCCCCAGAGTCTCAAAAGTTACCAATACGCCCTGATTTGGTTTAGGGCCTCAGGAATGGGCCTTTCCTTGGAGGGAGGAAGTAGGACAGGGCTGTGGTAGGACAGCTAGGAAGAACTCCAGCTGGACGGAGCACCTCCCCTCAACTCACAAGCGGCTGGGCCCGTGAAAAAAGCTTTATTAACATAAGGGAGAGGCTTCAGGAAGAGCTGGAAATCAGCCCCACCCCAGCTGTCTGCAGGGCCCTCGGGAATTTGGAGCTGCCAGCGTTCGCTTCTTAACATGGTCCCAATGAGATGGAAACAGAACAAAGCAGGACACACGGTTGGGCGTAGTTCCATGGGATCCTATGGTTTAGCGATCACAGAGTGGACACTCGTGTTTAAGCATGTCACCAGGTGTCCTGTGAGCACTAGCAGAGGCACATGTGGGTGGAGGCCACTAACAGAGGTCAGCACCAGTGGGTTGTTTTGGCCAATGGAGTGGGAAATTCCACCCCACCGGGTCTTTTTGTAAGGCACTGTTGTGCAGTCAGTACATCGGTACCTGGTGACCCTGAATGAGATCAGACTGAGCTGCCTGAGGGCAGGAACTTCTGTTCCTCTTGTTTACCATTCTCCCACACACAGAAGGCACTAATAAATATCTGGTAACTGGCCCGGCCGGTGTGGCTCAGTGGATTGAGCACTGTCCCATCCACCAGGAGGTTACTGGTTCTATTCAGGTCAGGGCACACCTCAGGGTTACGGCTGGGTCCTAGTGGGGGCTGGGAGGTGGGGACCTGTAGGAGGCAGCATATCTCATATCTCTCTCTTCCTCTCTCAATGAAAAATCAATTAAAAACCCCCCACTACTATTTACAAATAGATATCTGGTAAAAGAAAAATGAATAAATATGTCATCATCCAGCGCTGGGACCAGTCGACAGCACTGTCAGAGCTGTCAGAGGAAGTGTGGGAATTTGTTTCGATGCTGCCTGAGTCTGGGCAGGGCTACTTCTCTCTCAGGACTGTAGGGCCTTGGCATATGCAGGAGGGTGAGTTTCAGTATTTTCCAGATGGGTGTCCCCATGTCAGAGGTATGTCTCCGTCACACCCCTCTGGCCATCCCTTTGCCATCCCTCACAGTCATGCCCATAGTCTTGCCCCTGAGTCTTGGCTCAGTCCTGTGGCTACAGGTCAGGTGTGAATGTGCCATGGTGTGCAGGTGCCATGACCCTAAACGCCGCCTGTGTTCTGGCTGAGGCCTCTATCCTCTCTCCTGGCATTCTAGAAAGGTGGGTGCTGCCGAATGGCGTAAGTCTGCCACCGGTGGAGGCCCTGTCCAGGGACGGGCTCAGGGTGGTGTGTTCAGCCTCATGGCGGCCGCCTCCTGGGCCTTCTGTAGCCTGTACTTCCGGATCTTCCGCTGACGGTTATAGAGGTAAGCGGCTGTGCCCCCTGTGGCTGCAATGCCCAGGATGAGAGCTGTCACTGCAATGATGGTGACCAAGTTACTCTGCTGATCTGTAGGGAGAACAATAAGGGGAGTTGGGGGCTGAGCCAGGCTCGCTGACCCTGCCCAACCCAGCCCCGTCCCCAACACTGGCACTCACAGATCACGTTCACAACCACTTCACGGGTGGCCACACCACGACGGCTGGTGGCCTGACACACGTAGGTGCCCGAAATACCCCGCGTGACAGGCCTCAGCTCCCCGATGGGCAGCAAAGCCCCATCCCCTTTCCGGTGACAGTCCAGCTTGGGGACTGGGTTCCCCGAGGCCTGGCACCTCAGGGTCTGCGAGATGCCTTCCTCCAACGTCCAGTTTCCTGGGCAATTCTCCTTGTCCAGTCGGGGGCCATCTAGAGAAACACAGCAAGAGGAGGTCAGGGTCAGGAACCAGAACTCCTCTCACCACCCAGGTCTGGAGGAGTTAGGTAGGCAACCCAGGGCAGGGGCGGGGGTAGACTTCAGAGACATGAGCTCATGGAGTCGTAGGCCTGGGCCTTGGAGGTTTGGGGTCATTGTCCAGCAGCCCTACTTACACAGAACAAAGAGCTTCTGGGTCTTGTTTTTGTGCAGCACATGCCCGGCCACCTCCAGGGCAGCAGAACACACAAAGCCACGCCCGTTGTCCTCAGCAGTGGCATTCAGCATGGTTTGGGCATTCGGAAATGGAGACTCAGCTGGGTCCCCGATCAGCGTCACCACAGCTCCAGCATGGGCCTTGCACTCCACGCTCACCACAGTCCCCTCGGGGACTTCAGACTCACTCAGGGTCAAGTTGGGAGCTGGGAAACCTGGGGGAGGAGCACGCAGTGAGCCCCGCCCCTAGGTCTGGCCCCGCGCGTCCAGAGCTCTGGCCTGTCCCTACTTACTGTAGATGGTCACATTCTCCCGAGTCCTCTGACTCTGGTTTCCCAGGGTCACTGCACAGGTCAGCTGCTGGACGCCTTCATCCCTCGGGGCCATCTCCACCAAGGCGGTGGCCGAGAGCGAGTCCTTGCTGTACTTGATTCTGGGTTCCAGCCTCTGGTCCTCCAGTGCCAAGTGAACCTGGGCCTCTGAGGCCGGGAACAGCCCATCCAGGGAGCAGGTCACGGACCGCTGTGTGCCCACTTCCATGATCCCGGGAGTAACAAGGTGTGGGCGGACCTCTGGCAGGACTGGCCAGAGAAGGTGGGTGTGAGCAGAGGGGAACTGAAGCCCTTTCCCGCAGCATTTTCATTCTGTCACCTGGAACGCCTCTTCCCCGGGAGACTCTGCAACTTGGCCATCTATGACTCGGGACACTTGACCCCCTTACCCTGGGTCACAGCCTTCTCAGAAGATCCTGTGGCCCAGGCGGCCCATCCCCCAACACCCCACCCCAGTGGCCAAGAACATGCTCTTCCCAGAAGCCTTTGCAATCTAGCACTATCTTGTCCGTACCCTCAGGCCAGGAGCGCCTCCTTCCCAGGAACCCCGCACCCCAAGCAGGAGCCCTGCCTGAGCCTGTCCTCCTGCGAACTTCCCAATGCCTCACCGAAGGTTCGGAGCTGCCTGGGGACTGAGCTGTTCTGGAACAGTCCCAGCCCTTGGGGCCGAAGGTCCAGTTCTGTGTGGCAGGAGAAGTTGGTGCCATGGTCGTCTCTGCGTGCCAACACTGTGGCCGTGACCTCAGCCACAGGCGTCCCCTCCGCAGGCTGCCGGCTCAGCAACTTCTCCCCTTGGAGCAGCATCACGGAGAGCTTTGTCCGGGGCGCCCCTCCCTCCACCTGGCAACGTAGGGTGAGGTTTTCGCCCACAGGCTGCCATTGGGGCAGGGGTTCCAGCTCCACACGCTCTGGGAACCCTGGGGGAGAAGAGAGGAAGGAGTGTCCTGTGAGCTGGACAGGAAGGATACCACCAGCAGGGGGCACAGAGACACCATACCTGGGCCAGGGAGCCTCACGGCCCCAAACACACCCCAAGGATGACTAATCCCGAGCCACCTAAGTCATTCAGGAATGTTAAGAACTTCGGGGAAACCAGTGAGAAGTCCCCAAGTGGTTGTGAAAGGGCAAACCATTTTTTTTATTCACTGCAGCTTCTAAGAGTGAAAAGTGGGAAAGAACCTCGGAGTGTGTCACCAGGTGTCAGTGAAATGCAGTATTTCAGCTGCCCAGTAGAGACTGGTTTTGTTTTTTGTTTTTACAGAGAGGAAGGGAGAGGGATAGAGAGTTAGAGACATCGATAAGAGAGAAACATTGATCAGCTGCCTCCTGCACACTCCCTGCTGGGCATGTGCCCACAAGCAAGTACACGCCCTTGACCGGAATCGAATCTGGGACCCTTGAGTCCACAGGCTGACGCTCCATCCACTGAGCCAAACCGGTTAGGGCTAGAGATTGTTTTTAAAAAGACCTCTGCTCTTCAAACAAAAAAAAATTAAGAACAGAAAAAGAAATTTAAAACAATAAAAATTGTTTAAAAAGAAAACTAAAAAACCAAACCAAAAAGGACAGAATAAATGAGAGAAAGAAAGAGACCTCTGCTCCCCCTTCCCCTATCTTGGCTTTATTTTTCTCTGTAGCACCCGTTCACTCTCTGATGCACAACATCCTCTACTCAGGGAACTTGTTTCTCCTCGATTTCCTCCCATGAAATGTGATCCCAGGAGGCAGGCTCTTTGTCTGCCTTGCCCCCCGTGTTGTTTGCTGGCACACAGTAGGCGCTCTATATTTATAGAAGGAATAAGGTTGAACCACACACACTGATTGGAGGCCTTTCAGGAGCCCACGTTCAGGAGAAAGAAGTTCCAGCCCTGCCCGCATGGCTCCGTGGTTGAGCTCGACTTACGAACCAGGAGGTCACGGTTACATTCCGGGTCAGGGCACATGACTGGGTTGCTCAGTGTGGGGCGTGCAGGAGGCAGCCGAACAATGATTCTCTCTTATCACTGATGTTTCTCTCTTTCTCTCCCTCTCCCTTCCTCTCTGAAGTCAATTAAAAAATATTTTTAAAAAAGAGAGCAAGAGCCGAGACCGGCTTGGCTCAGTGGATAGAGCGTCAGCCTGCGGACTGAAAGGTCCCGGGTTCGATTCCGATCAAGGGCATGTACCTGGGTTGCGGGCACATCCCCAGTAGGAGTGTGCAGGAGGCAGCTGATCGATGTTTCTCTCTCATCGATGTTTCTGACTCTCTAATCTCTCTCCCTTCCTCTCTGTAAAAAAATCAATAAAATATATTTTAAAAAAAAAGAGAGAGAGCGAGAAAGAAGTTCCTGAATGTGCTGTATGACCCTCTGAAATGTTAAAAATGTAAGAACCAAAAAAAAAAAAAGTAAGAACCCACAGACACCCAAAATGCAACTCTGGATAGCCCTGAAGATACAACTTGTGGGCTCGGTTTTCACAGGCCAGGGTTTCCATTTTGCACCAGGTAACAGAATTCTGAGCCTGAATGGCCAGTGAACATTTATAGCAGAGCCCTGCCGAGCTGTGACTTAGCACTGAGACCCGCCAAGCTCCCCAGGGAGCGGTCTTGAGGGCTCCGGGTCACTGTTCCCTTCTAAGAGGCCCAGGAACATCACTTGGCAAAGCTGTTAAAGGGTCAGGGGCTTGGGTTTGGTTCCTAGCTTTTCGGCTTCTTTGCTATGGGCTGTGGGTGAGTGACTTGCCTCTGGAACAGTCCCAGCCCTCAGGGCTCAGAAACGGAGACGCAGTTTCCTGAGCTGTAAAGCGGGGCTACTGGAGGTAGGACTATTATTAATGCATTTAAGAAATTGAAAGAGTGAGTGTCAATGGGCATCAGGTTTCCTTTTAGGGTAATGAAAATGTTCTTAAATTAGATGGTGGTGATGGTTGAACTCTATAAACACTAAAATTCATTGACTTATGCACTTCAAATCTGTTGTTGTTTTTTAAAAGGGCCCAGAGCTGTAGCCGATTTGGCTCAGTGAATAGAGCTTTGGCCTATAGACTGAAAGGTCCCGGGTTCGATTCTGGTCAAGAGCACACATGCCC